CTAGTCTTCTTCCTCTATCCAACAGGTAAACACCGAGTCGAAATCTGTTTCGAACCGAAAATGCTTCTACTTCAAGGAGGCGCCGAAAAAAGCCGCCCTGCCAGTGGTCTTGAGCATGGGCCACTCGACCAGAAGCCCGAATCTGGACGGATTCACCTTTCTTCCTCTTCTACTTTGGAACCTGATGGATCACATCATTGTGTCACTTCGAACGTATTCATGACCACATGCATTTCGATGGCTTTCATCAAGAGTCTCCAATATCTGAATTTTATACCTCCTTATCGTGTAGCGACCCCTAAATGCAAAGCGATTCTTAGCATTTTGTTTCTTCCACCTTAGCCTTTTACACAATTCCTCCTTCTCTATTCATTATACCATTTTGTATTACTCTACTTAATCCTTTTTCAATTTTAATTAAGTAGCCATCTTTAAATGAATCCTTAAGGGAATAATTTTTTAACAATATACATTACAGGGCCAGAATACTGCCATGACAACAGAATATATTGGCATAACCGTTGGCTTTGTTCCAATTTCACCAATTGCAGAAGGACCATGCATGTCTTACTGTTTAAGCATATTTGAAAACGCTATCACTTTGTAAAAGTTTCGTTTTATTCTATAGCTTGATTGCCTCCCGTTCTGTCCACTTATGCGTTTCTCTGCAGTATCGCTCATTGAGTTTATTTGGCAAAAGTTGGCTTTATTGACGTCCTACTGGCACTCCAACTTATGCCTGCATGCCCATAACAATGCGCCTATATATTCACATGCAGGGCTAAAGGGCAAAATACGATTGAGAATAAATACAAAAGAAAAAGTATCCTTTTGGAGTTATCGTGTGATAAAAGCAACAGTGGCAATTGGCCTCTTCTCGTGGATTGAGTCTTTGCTCGAGCGTACGGAACATTACTTTGAGGATTATTTTTGATCAAATGGCGACAGGAGGCGTCAGAGCGGCAGGAGAGGGTGTACTGGGAAGCAGCATATCGGGTAGGCTTTTGTATGAACTTGTGAACTTGTGAAATTGTGTGACGAACAGATGGGTAAGTCGATCTGACAAGAAGACGACATCAGGTCCTCCTTGATCTGTTGTTGTTCAACCTGACTGGATCGGTTCTCCAGCCATTCTTCTTCGGTTACGGTGGAAATGTGCCAGGCTTTTGCCTGTTATGCCACTGGATAAATATCTTTAAAGCTTGCATTCCCTCTTCTAACGACAACAAGCTTATGCAGAGTCAATAAAGCCAACCTCGCTACCTATCCCCCTTAAAAACTCAAAAAATGTCAAAAGGTAAAGAAAGATCTGCTTTTCGCTTTTGTGTCTCTTCATGCATAAGCACGAGAACGAATCTGCAGTGAGAGGTTTAAATAATTAAAAGAAAGAACTACATTTATTCTGGTACATTCAGGCTTAATGACCTTCCTAAGCTAATTTCTCATATTTAAAGAATACCTGAATTTGTTGATTTTAATGACCTCTCGTCGACAGGCAATACTATACTCAGCAAACCGATGAGTTTGAAGCTATTCTGCCTCGTGTTCAGTTTCGGTCATGGACTCAGCCACTTCAGACTTCTGGACCCAAAATGTTCCGCAGGCATTTTTGTGTATTACATGCTTATGTACTGGTGAATGGGACAGCAGATCTTCCTAGTTTAAGTACGATTGTATGAATACGCTATTTTACAGCAAATCTCCCTCTCTATAATTCGGCTTAGCTGAAAAATATCTCCAATTTTAATTGATATTATATTGCTCTGTACTTTCCGTCATCCTTTTGTAAGGGAGGCATGATAGCAAGGACAAGGCATCAGAAGATGTTATAGGTTGTCTATCTATTTCTAAGTAGCCTTCTATTCTGATATTTTCTCCTTATTCAATGAATGTTATTTTATATCAATTTAAGTTATTCTTACTTAACGGCGTAAGCCCATATATAACTTCTTATTTCATTGCCTTCTATCTGCAAGCCCCACTCATAGTCTTAACTGGCTCTTAAATTGTAACAGCTAGCTCATAGCAAGTCTGTAAAGAAAGTTTAGAAGAAATCTGTCATATGCTGGTCTCCAATAAACGTCGCTATCTCCACTCATCACTTTCTCGACTTACAAAGCCAACCAAAAATGCTAAAATATTATAGTCATTTAATTTCATCCCATGAAGGAATTGGTTACCGACAGGACAAATAAACAAGCCAACTCCAAATGGGGTGTAAGATGTTACATTAAGTCTCGGACGTCCGGTAGGAACTCAAGGGAATATGCATTTGAAACGTAGCATGGGGTGCCAATTGGGGCTTTCAGCTACCCCAAGACTAACTGAGAGGATAACATGTCCTCTAACAGCTTACTCACTAAACATGAGCTTAAACAACTAAGCAAATAAGAACTTTATTATTTAATTAGCTAAATATTCACATTTATCACTAAATTGCCTGAATTGATTGTTAGATAGGTAACAAAATAACTATAACTAAAAACTATATCCGCCTCGTGTCGTCCTGTGCGATAAAAGCCAATATAGTTGATTGAATATACTTCTTGATCATGTACCTGGTTTCCGCCCAGGCTTGTTTGCAAAAGGATCTTCTCAACCAGGCTGGACAAAGGTTTAGAGCCTGGTTGGGTCTCATTAGCACCTGTTTCGAGCATTGAAACCGCATTAAGCATGTAAGGTGTGCTTCACTGGACACATGCAACTTTCAGGGCAGACTAAGCCTCTCTCAGGCCTTCTGTGATTAACGCAAAGATCTTGGTAACAGGATCTACCGATACCTTCGCAAGCTAGTGAGTCTGTCTATAATTCACTAATTAACTGACAAAATGGACGTTTATAAGTATGTTTTCGAGACTACCAGTAGATCATATGTATGAAATGTATTCATCCTATTTGTTTTAAGCTAGGAGAGGACTGGTAGTTGAATTTTTCCATACAATTAAATGAGTAGGCCTTACGCTTCCATTACATTTCACATAGACTTGCTTCCCAAAAGTACTAAAAAACAAGAAAAAATAAGTAATGTAATGGATTGCTATGGAAGTACAACTTTGCTTCATCTACAATAGCACAGAATGTGATATGGAAAAATAACTGGATTTCCTTGAAATTCACATCTGCCCTGTGACCCAAGAGTATTTGGGGCAGTCTGGCGTACTGGTTAACGTTTTGAGATTGCACGTATTGCCACAATCCGGGTTCGAATCCCGTTGTCGGCGCAGATGAGACCAATTAAGACGAGATCGAAACTGCAATTCAGTCTGGATAAGAATACCTTTTGGTGTGAAACCTATTCATATAATTTTGGGAAAAATCCAACTACCAGTTCTGCATCATTTTAAACAAATAGGGTGAATACACTTCTTAAGTATCACTCTGATCGGTGATAGATTAATTAACTAAGTAAGTTATCGGTTGATCAGATAATGAACGAAATAACTGGGTATTATTCCCTTGATCATTGCATTTTGTATGAAAACCTCGCTATAATTTTTGCTATATTAAGCACCTACAGACCAACTAACAATCTATATAACCAACAAAGTATCTAGTTTGCTAAAAAAAATTAGCCATTTTTCACTAAAAAGCAAGATCTGAACTATAGGCAGACGCATTAGCTAGCCGATCAACCCCAAACCTTGAAAGGGCAACAGCTAAAACCCAAATTCCATTTTAATTTAGCTGATCAAATGAGAAGTTAACTGAAAGATACCTAGACTTTAGGCCATCGCCAAACCAGCTAGAATAGAAGCAATTTACCTGCAAATTGGCACAAAATTTGGCTGAGGAGTTCAATTTCGAAGAGTTTTTAACGGGAAAAGCACGCGAGGATGGTCGGTTTCATTGTAAACTTAAAGTCCCATTTTGACCACCGATCGAAGGTATCCATGTTGATCACTGGTGCCGGGATCGCGTTATCCTCTGAACATTAAAGCCCTTTTTAGAAGTTTTTCGACCTTGTTTTCGCAAATTGATCCTGTTTTCAGGACGACCTAAATGCACATTCTTTTTACGGAGTCCTTTGCCATGGTGACCATGATAATCTTCTGTGTCCGACCGTAGACTGGTACATTCTGAGATCTTTAATCCATCTTTATCCAGAATATATTGAAGGGGCTGAATGTACCAAGCCCACAATCTGACGCGGGAAATTATCATGGCTACTATGACAAAGGACTTTGGACATGGTGTGCTCATCTAGGCCTCTCTGACAATGCGACCAAGTTTCGAAAACAAAGACAACCTACTTGTATGCAACGAGAGGAGACCAGGCCACATCATATCAATCTTAATACCTTCGGATTGAGGCCCTCTGCTCGAATCTGACCGAAGATCTCAACGAGATCAGGGCAAGATTAACACTACAGTTTACGATAGGATGGATAAGTGCAGTTCGGTAACATCTGAAGTCACCGCTTCATCTCACCGTATATGGTATCATTATGTCTGCCCACAACGCCATACGACAAAGGGTGCATCCTATCTACAATCATTGTGGAGCTACGACCCTCACGTCCAGATTGTCCTACCAAGGGATGTTTGCTGTAAGCGGATTCGGCAATAAACTATGCTATTGTTTACCCTAAACTCGATGGTATAAAGACCAAAACGATGTGGCCCACATATTTGGGTCGTTATCTAATTTTTGTTCTAGAAAATTTGTTCTGGATCGCTTTTTTAAACTTTTTCTTATTGTCAATGGGACCGTGAAGAATGCAACTTGACAATTATCGCGAAAGACGCCAGGCTCCAACAACCCGAGCAAGCTGCGGAAATGAGGCGAAAGCACTTCTGAAAGCGACCATATTTCCAAACTCCCTCGTCAAGATAAGCTCGCTTTGTTTACCCCTTCGCATGATGATATAGTCCCGGTAACGGGTACTTGGAAAGTGGAATCTCCTCAAAACTGTCACGACGAAAATGAGGGGTCATATTTAGAGGGTTGTATCAGTACAAGCGATAAAAAGACTGATTATCAAGTCATTAATCCTGATAGGCTAGTCTGAAGGCGTCCTGCCACAGAAACACTTGCTGGCTTGATACTACTTACTCACGTCAGGCATGAATAGCTTGATCCTATTCTTCCTTTCGGATGCCTCTTGGCTTTAAGGGTGAGAGCATAAAATTTGTTGATTCGTATTTTGGTGCAATCGACTGTGGATCTGCTAATAGTGATTTGAGGAGAAGATCGTCGTTCCATTCGGAAATATCGTAAGATTTTGGAGGCCTTTTTTCATTTGCGAAACTGAGGCCTAGCTGATTTTTTAAATTGTTAACATTACCTCCATTTCGAGAGAAAGTATTTGATGAAGTGATTCGAAGGTCGATCCCACATGAAA